AAATAAAAAACTAAAAAGATGGGACGATTCCCCCGAGACATTCTATGAAGCTGAGGCGGCGAATCGGCTTACGTTACGGTTAGAGATTTCGGCTCTTCCACGCTATCCCGAGAGTGAACATAAAACTTAGTCTTAACCAAAAGGCCAGGGAGTGAGGGGGTAGCCGCCCACTAGAGCATACCTTTAGCTACCCTCTTAGACCATCGTACTATGAAGACACTTGTAGATATCTAATACCTAATGGGGGTAGTCTACTCGGTGAAGTTCTATGCTAATATATGACGTCACCAAAATCCTTAGGGATCGGCGAGCCAATCAGAGCTCAGCTCGGGAATTAGCAAACGATACAGGCTTTGCATAATCATTCTTCAGGGATTTATTACTTGATGGGGGTGGGGTGGTTGACGAGTCATGGTTTGCGGCCGAATGCCGATGTTCGATGTAATGTGACGGCTTTCACCAAGGTGTCTTCAATTGTCTATATTGCTTGCTAAATCATCACAGGAAAATTTGGTGTGCAGTTCGTATATCAGACAGACATTGCTAGTATTCGAAATAACAACAGCACGGCACTAAAATCTCTTGAAATTCTTAACGTAAGTGGTTAACAGACCAGGCTGATACTAGCTGTTGCCAAAGATTTGCCGGGATCCAACGGAACACAATTAAAGACCTGAAGCTCTAGCATTACACTAGAACGTTCCACATCTTCGTCCTTGATGATATGAAAGTTTACAAATGGATTAATATTGATTATCAAATAATTCAGTTATTGAATGTAAATATAGTGAATGTTAACAGAGAGGATGAATGATAATCCGTATAAGATTAATAAAGGATCTTGAAGTCTTGACGGGGATCAAAAAATGAATTAACAATCTTTGAGTTAATTTTATTGCAAAACTATAATCAGGCGAATGATAGTAATTAACTTGGATGTAAAAATACTGTTTAGATAATACAAACATTTTATCGAAGAAAACGTTTAGAATTTATCATGAGTTTATAAGTCAACAGATACAGAAAGATGCCTTTGGCTACAGCTAAATAGGCTTTTGCATGAAACGGTCACATGGTACACAATCCGGCATACTGGATGGTAAAATACCCACTGGGATCAGCGCAAAACAAAGGAATGTCAAGCTTGACGGGCTACGTTCCTTTTTCTCTTGAGGTTGTTACATTCTTTCAGAATGGCGGATTTTTTTGCCATTTGACCTTTTCATGCAAAAAGCCTATTAAAGCTCTAAGGACTCCATGTTGTGGATAAAAATCCCTTTCCGAATCTTTCAGATGGATATGTTAACCTGTAGGCAGGGAAACAGGGCGCCTCGCGTCAGGCTCCCAACCGTGAGCCGTGAAACGGCTGAAAAATTAGCCGTGGATCGTGAAAAAGCCAAATTTTTAGTCGTGAGTCGTGATGCGAACCTCCTCCCCCCTTGAGACCCTCTAATAACGTTATAAAAGGTCTTTCCTTACTTAGATACTATTTTGNGGAATGTCAAGCTTGACGGGCTACGTTCCATTTTCTCTTGAGGTTGTTTACATTCTCTCAGAATGGCGGATCTTTTTGCCATTTGACCGTTTCATGCAAAAGGCCTATTAAAGCTCTAAGGACTCCATGTTGTGGATAAAAATCCCTTTTCCGAATTTTTCAGATAGATATGTTTACTATTCGCAATACTCCTAATGATATGCAAAGTGAAATAGTTTACAATACAGCGTTATTAATGGGCGTGCGGTGTCATGTGCATGGGATTTACGCAATAAAGGGAGTATAAATGGTTTTTGAACAATTATATTCATTCTTGCTCAGTTTTTTCAGCGGAAAAGGAGCTCTAAAACGAGTTTGATTTTTTCTTGGCGACCCACGCAAAATCCTATGGCTCAAAACCAAGTCCAGTTCCCAGTAGAAGACGCCGCGGCGGAGAATGAAGCAGACGGACAACCTCAAAAGATGAGATGCCCGAAATGGAACGTTATAATATGAATCGACATCTTTTTTGGATTGCTAATAAGAGGGTCTCAATGGGGTTAACCTTGAGCCATGAAACGGCTGAAAAATTAGCCCCTTGGCTTGAAAAAGCCAAATTTTTAGGCGTGATTCGTGATGAGGACCTCCCCATCCCCCCCATTGAGACCACTCTCCCACGGAAGGAATCGTCGCCTGGTGTGTATTTATAGRMAACGTATGTTGATCGACACTTGATGCTTCCAGTTTCCTTGCAGCGTACATTGTATGCAGATAATTCAGAAAACGTTGTTGTATTCGAAGTTTACTAAATATCGTAATGGCCTGAGTCACATGCAGTCCTCGACTGGCTATTTTTTTAACTTGATGCGCGATCTTGGATCTTTTGAGGAGGGTGACCAAATTTAAAATTCGAGTCCCAAACTTGAGCCGCCATCTTGGATTTCTCAACTTGAGCCGCCATCTTGGTTCTGAAGTTGACTTGGGCAACCGACCATTTTGACTTTTTCTACAACTCCCACCGCCATCTTGGATTTTTTAGATTAGTGATCGATTGGATTTCCTAGCTTGGACCGCCATCATGGATTTTTTGGCTCGGTCAGCCTTGTTGGTTTTTTCAACTTGAATCGCCATCTATAATAGGCCCCTTGAACCCTCCAAAGATTGCTCTTTGTTCAATTGAGTTTAACTGTGATGCCCGCCCACAGATGCGTGAGTCATTCTCTTTTATTACAGTGTTTGCCATCGAATTACAGAAAATAGTCAAAAAACGTTTCACCACAATAGAAGTAAAAGATTGTTTGATTAAGAGACTTCAATGCTTTTTACTAATAGATTCTTTCATGAATAAAGTGCTGCTAGGAGAACAAAGTAAATACATTAAGGAAAGATAGATTATTCCCGTTGACAGTAGTAAAAAAGAGCACAGAAATCTTGCTTAAACATTAAGGGGGCATGTTCTAGTTTGACAGTGAATCAAGTTGAATGTAAATCCGYGTTCGTGGATGAAATATAGTCCAAATGAACATGAGAATAGTATTAACCATTAATTATATATCGGCAGTGCGTATTACACCCGTTTTCGACCATTTTCAAAAATAGTTCTATGGGCAGCTTTTATGGAAAAATGTATTCCGTTMATAAACGATCTTTGCCTTACAGCTATTCCTGCAATATATTAAATCCAGGACAACAAAAACAAGCCATTCTTACGAGTTGAGGACAGCCTCCAATTATAAGAAAAATATTACGAGAACTGAGAGATTTTGTGTCTGCAAAACATCTGTTGTAATAGTGTTAAGCGTTCTATGCCAGCCTAATGTAATATCAGTGCTGCGCTCTTCCTGTAGTTCAGTGTTTTTCTCACTTTAAACTGCGATAGGATTGGAATAAACATATCATTCATGTCTTCTTTTCTATTTTCGACCCTTCTGTCCCCGCTTCACGTCACTTGAGATCTTTTCCCTTTGTTTGTTTCGTCTGATTCATGTTTGTTTGCAAACTCATCCAGCTTTTTTTTGCTTTGCTTGTTTACTCGTCATGGCTTGTTTGTTTGATTTTAATTTTCCTATATCGCTAATTGTTCTTTTTATTTATACCATAACTTCCTTATTCCTTATTGGTTTATTCATAATTTTGTTTACTTTCATTGTTCTCGTTTTCGAGAATTTGTTTTAATACATAATTGTTCTATAAGTCAGTTTGATATTATACAACSAAGAGCTCTAGAGGTTCGTTATTCCGGTACCCAAATGATGTCCCTTGTTGGGTCATTTCCTATCAACAATCTGAACGACTGATTCAAATATCGTGATCGATATCACTTTGATCACCAATTTGCACACAGCTGGACTGAATACCAAAACTATGACCTGCAAAAACCAAATTTGAGTAGAGACGAATCGGCTTTAATAATGGCAGCAAAATCATTCTTCCATTTTTTCTATCGAATCATTTTTCTGTTCAACGCGTTGTGGATCCAAACTTGTTCAACATCAAAGGAAGGTCTTGGCACTTTCCCGGTATTCATTTCAAAATATTCTCGCTCGAGTTACTACTCTTCTGAAAAGGATTCTTGGCAAAAGAGTRACTCAGTTCAAAGACTTCAAGCTTATGATGATTTTGAGTGCTTACTCCACTGCAGTCGTATGGGAACTCGATGCGAGTCAAYKAACTACAGAGTTGAAAAAAGTGAAAAARGAGAGAAYTTATGTGAAATCATCYTAACAGACCAACATGAGSARTCRACATYAAACCWTTTTGCCTCTTCTGAGCACTTTATATTACAGGTACGTATAATATTATAGAACGGCTCGAAATTTGATATATTTATATCATATATAGCTTTCAAAACGGATCGGAATGGTTTGGTAAAATATGGTAATTGCTTGCTTGCTCGCGGCAGCAAGCGCGCGAAAAAAGTGATAAAATAATTACTTTGGAAAGGAACTGTTGGATTTTTGGTTTGCTCAAAGTTAATATTAACTATGGTTTGCTATTGTCATTTTTTAATGACACAAACACTGAGATATAAAAGAATACCATAACATCCAGGAAAATATAATGTAGGATGCGATAAAAGTCGCKTAYGCTTTTGATGTCAGGGAGACGAAACACTATAAGAAGTGCCAAGTTGACATTGTAAAAACTCACAATTTCCGTCACAACGCGGATTTTGTATATATTTTTCGCACTTCAAACAGAAAACCGATATCGCATTTACCAAAAATTATCATATTTTCATAATGGTCTTTTATATGAAACGTTTTAATAGGAAACGGGGTTTTCAGTTTACCTTTTTGCCGTTAGTTCTGAAGAGCTTTTTCCTAAGMAAAATGATTAAAATGAAAGAAAGGCGTTGTTTATATTTACTGAATTCGTCACCTTCGCCTTAGTCGATCCTGAGCCGATTATGTGATATTTAGGATTAATTTAATTCTAGGCTTTTATCGCATATGAAGTTGAAAGCTTCGACGTCAAGTCGGTATTACTGTGCAAGCATAGAGAACAAGCCTCCTGCTTAACGATATGCCATAGTAACTTTGKGGGTAATATACACAAAATACGGCTTTGCGCAATGATATATCTTTTCTATTATGTTTTGAGCACTTACGCGCATTTCAATAATTGCAGACAAGACTTAATTGAGGCGTGATATCGAACTTGGAAGACAAATCTCAAGTGCAAAGCCATAAGAATACATCAGTTTATAATTTATCGTCGRTTTTTGTGCGTCAACATAATGATTATATTGCGTCTCGATATTGAAATAATTAAACCTTTATATATAACGAAGGAAACGTGAGTTTTCACCTGTGAAGATTGACTAAAAGTTTCGCCGARTTAGAAATGAAGACTGTGTTTCAAACTGTCGATCAAAAGTTTCACCGCGATCATCATCATTATGTCAGTGTTACTTGGTGCGCTAATTCATAGTCCCCATAGATATGGATTTGTGTTTGATAAAATGCAAACATAATGTCAACGAGGAAGAAATACAAACACGCTAAATAAATTAAATAATCTAGTATCTTGTGTCGAGTGTCATGTGCAAACAAGTTTGAAAGCWGTTGCAGTGGGAAAACGAAAAAAATAAGAATTGAGCCAATGGAAAAAATGGAAAATGAGAAGAAAACAGAGAAGGAAATCAAGAAATCAAGAATGGAAGACGGAAATAAAAGGAAAAAGGGAGAGTGAGAACGAAGGCTGAATGAATTGACATATTTCCATGTGTCTATATTTGTTATTTAACTATTCAATATTCCATATTTGTTTAAATTAACAGCCTGCCATTCACAAGTCATGCGACGAAGTGTACAGAAATGGAGGGAAAGCAAACGGTGTKTACAAAATAAATCCCCCGATAAACTTCCCACCGATGTACGTCTTCTGCGATATGCAAACAGATCAAGGAGGATGGATTGTAATACAAAAGAGAATCGATGGCTCGGTTGGTTTTCATCGCAACTGGAACGAGTATAAACGGGGGTTTGGTGACAAGCTTAGTGATTATTGGTTAGGATTGGATATAATTCATTCTTTGACGTCACAGGGWGATTATACTCTTCGTATTGACATGGAAGACTTTGCTGGTAGTGTGAGATATGCTGAGTATAATAAGTTTGTTATTGGTGATGAGAAGGATAATTTTCGACTTACTGTTGATCAGTACTCAGGTAACTGCAGCAAAGAAACATCCCTCCATTTAAAGTAAAACAAATTAATAACTTATAAATCTAACGTTAGGATTCCAGCCATTTTGCAATCTTGACCAGCAAATATAAACCAATAGTTACAAACAAGCATCAATTCTTTAATACTAAATCTTCAACGAAAACACCAACCGACCCACCGAAAAAATAATTAACCAAACAACCAACCAACCAACCAACCAACCAACCAACCAACCAACCAACCAACCAACCAACCAACCAACCAACCAACCAGGCAGCCAGCCAGCCAGCTGGGAGAGTTGACTGTACTGTGAATTTACAAAATGATAGCACAATTTATTTTGTAACGTTTAGGTTTTACGGATTAAGTGGGTCGACTAGATCTAAATAATAATTTATGTCTTCTTTTTATTTCTTGTCAAGGGGATGCRGGGGATACGTTAAGACTCCATAACAACGCTCAATTCTCTACCAAAGATCGTGACAACGACAATTCCAGAACCCATTGTGCAAAGTCCTTTAAGGGGGGTTGGTGGTTCAACCGTTGTCTCCATTGCAATCTAAACGGTGAATATTTCTCGGATTTGAGCAAAGCACCAAGAAGACAAGGGGAAGGAATTCTATGGTCAGAGTGGAAGCTCTGGGAGATTCTGAAGAGAGTAGAGATGAAAATAAGACTCAAGATAAATTAGAACCTGACTATAGACATTCGTCGATGACAATTCATCTATGTATTTGAAGCTAATTCAAGAATATCTCCAAAGTGCCCAACCGACTCTTTTATATCGGAACTGGTGGATTAGGTCTATGCTTTGAGGACAAACCTATGACGATAGTGGGGGAAAGCAGAGCTCCACAGCAAAGAATATGACAGYGAGAAAATCACAGAATAGCGATTGCATTGTTGTATGATGGGTAAATTCCACATTTCCGCGGCACATGGTATACTGTCTCATTCTGTCCCGCAAGACTCTTTCTTTAGTTGACGTTTTCTACGTACGTTTTCTTAAGCGTGTGAGAAAAATCTAAAAAAAATATTGGTGTATATATATGAATGAATTCTGGTGTTATTGTTTCCACATTATCACGCAAGAGAAATGWTAATAATTCTGACAGCGCGATAAGCGTGTTGATAGTTTTAATAGTAAATAAGTAAATTCAATAATTTCTTGGGATATTATGAATGTACTTTGATCTTGACTGCTTACTCTATGCTCACATCATCGTCATCATTAATTCTCTTTTTGCCAGAAGATACACCATCCCTCAAACCTATTCTGGTACATCATCCATTCCACCTATTCCCACCACCTTCGCTTAGCTCCATGATTGACAGCCACCCCGTTTTCTATCGCTCTCGACCGTCCAACCCCAAATATTCTTTCGCTTCCTCTCAACCTAAGTCCTTCTGGTGTCCAGTAGTTCTGCAGTCATCCACTTTGTCTCTGCTCGTCTCATGTCCAAGCCCTGCTGATATTTTATCCAATCATTCCTGGTATCCTTAGTTTATTCCTAAATAAACCTTAGATATACACCTAATTGCGAAAACGTTGTCATAAAAAAATAGGACATTTGTATTTTAGTAAAAAGGAATAAATTAAAAAGACAAAAGAAGATCACTGAGGCTGAACGCTTTCTTTTGTTTTGTTTTAATTTATTCCTTTTTACTAAATTCGAATGTTCTATTTTCTATCACAACGTTTCTGCAAGTAGGTGTATTCCCGAAACTATGTAAGATTCTACGATGATATGTTAATTACAAAGGACTGGCGCTTCCTCACCTAAAGGGATAGTGTGACGGTCACGCGTTCTAAGGTCACGTAAATCGAATCGCCAAATCACATGAATGCAACGTGACTAGCTTTTGTGTATTGCCGGGTTTCAAACGTCGGCTATCAATGTTTCCTGAATWTTGATATAAGATATTTCTCGTGCCCTAAAAGAATATAAGGTAAGAGATTTATAAGTGAGATTTTGGATGCGTCCTTCTGCATATCACGTAAACTCTATATCTCCGTCATGATATATCGTTTAGGTTGCTCGAAGTGCCGTTTGCATGGAAGCCTCCATTCTACATCATTTTTATTTCTAAAAACAAATACCCCTTTGATATCCCTCTATTTCTCTTTCCTTGGTGGGTGGGAAGTAGGGCAGAGTGCAACGAATTCAAACTCTGAGTTGCTCTATAATCTAAGGGCCATAGGGG